AGCTTGAATTACAAAAGGTTGATCAGGCTCAGGGTGTTTTAGAATTGGTTCAGCGGTAAATAATGCTTTCAAGGCTTCAAAAGCCTTCTGGCACTCATCAGTCCATATTAATGGGGCTCCAGGCCTTTGAGCTTTTGGTGTTCCTTTCCCTTTAGTTTTTAATAAATCAGTTAGAGGCAATGCCACTTGTTCAAAGTTTGGAATGAACTGGCAGTAGAAATTAGCAAAACCCAGAAAACTTTGCAATTGTCTTCTAGTTTTGGGAGCTTCCCACCCCAGAACATCCTTTACTTTGGAGGGGTCCATCTCAACAAAATGTCAGAGTCTGCACACTCATTCCCAAAACTCAGTAAATCTTCTGGAGACTAGGTAGTTCCATTAAAGATTTCTTTATTAGGAGAAATGCACAGCGTCCATAGTTGTTGAGTCTAATTCTATAAAGCAAAACCTTCCCTTTTTAAGCCCAAATTCCCCCCCCCCCTCCTTTCTTTTCCCACTTGACATTCCTGGTGCCTTTCTCCGAGTCTCACGGTTGCTTGACCTTGTTTGTGCCTCTGTAGAGATAACAGCAGCACCTGGCTTGGTATTTTCCTCCCCCCTTCTCCTAACTTCAGTGGCAGGAACAAGCAAGCAGCCTGCACTTAACATTTTAACCATTTAACCATTTAATATGCATTGCTAAACTAAATTAAAAACAACTGTGGTTTCTAGCTTGCGTAGATCCTGACACTGCCTTTTGTAACATGAAAGACTCCCAACCTTTTGGGAGAGCTGCAGCTTCGCCCTTCCAGCTAGCATGGAAATGCTGGAAAAATCTGTGATTGACAGCCTCCCCCCAATCACAGGGCAGGAGCATGGCTGGAAAGATAATGTTGGTTTAGGGATGAAATCAGGAATGGGCAAAGTGATGCCCTCCAGCTGTCTTGGAATACAGCTCCCATAATCCCTGCCCATTGATTGTTACACCTTAGACCAGTGTTTCTCAAGCTCAGCAACTTGAAAATGTGTGGGCTTCGACCTCCAGAATTCCCCAGCCAACAATTCCCAAATCTTCAGGTTGCCGAGGATAAGGAACACTGCCTGAGGCTGACGGGAAGGAGAACTGAAAACATCTGGAGAACACTTGGTTGTCTCCTCTGGTCTAAATCTTAAGTCTCCCACTGAAGCTTATTTCACATGTTGCAATAGCTATAGTTTAGCCATGATTTTCCAAGTGCACCAGAAAAAGCTGCCTTCACATACCATACTAAGCCAAAATCAAACTAGTGACATTATAGCTAACCTACCGAACAGGCTTGAGTTAGTGAAGTGTGTGAACTGCCACTGAGGACGTTCACTGGAACCACAAAGCACACGCTGGGTGAAATAGCTCTTCTGACTAGGAACCCAAAGCAACCTTCACACGCAAGACAAGTTGCCCCAACCCTGTTCTCATTCTCCAAAGTATTCTCTCATTCTTGTCTTCCTTGACAAGAATTCACAGGAGGGAGAATTTGCGAAGAATTCTCTTTGCTAAGGAAGGGAGCTGAACAAGTACCAAGGTAGCTTTTGCTTCACACATATAAACCCTTTTGGCAATCCTTCAACAATTTTGTCTGAGCTTGGAAGTTAAGTAAGGTTAAGCAGAATTTGGATGGGAGAGCTCCAGAAGATCCCAGGGCTGTAGAATAAGTAGGAAACTGAGGGGGGGGGGGGCGGACGACATCATGGGAGAAGATAAGGGCAAACTCCTTCTGTATTGTTGGCAGAATAACTTAATGGGCGTGCATGCTGCTCTTTATGATGAAAGTAACAGTATTTGGGTAACTATACTTAACCATGGTTGTTTGCTATGGTGGCCACAGGATTGATCTAAGCTCCTTTGACTGCAGAACTTTGCAGCCTGGCCTGCGGTGTGGGTAGAGTAAAGGAGCTGGTGTGACATTGGCAAGAGGTGGGTCCTTTTCTTTGCAGAGCCCATTCTTCCAAGTGACTGCCTGGGATGGGGAGCATTGAAGCTTGAGGCCAAGAGCTGGGGTGCTGCAGAGGTTCCTCCCCTGGGGA